TGTGGACCATGGACTCCGATCAATAAGGTTATGACGAAGCAGAAGGCACATAAACGTAAACGAATAAAAGTTTTTGTACCAACTTGGCGTCAGTTCAGTCATCTAGAAAAAATACTTTTGTTACCGAGTTTCAAGGAAAGTCGGTTCCTAAGAATCTAATGCAACTAAATTCGGGATAAAATAACACTCTTATAAGAATAGTAAACTAGAATGGAAGATAACAATGATTAGAACAGCATTAACATCTTAATTTGCTATAATTCAAGGACTTAGTCATTACATCGTAAACGTTAATACGAAAGATAGGTATATAACCATTTCAATGGGCTCTGATATAAAGTTGGAGAATTCACCCACTCAGTCGCCGCTGCCTCCCAAGCTGGGAAAGAGTTCGGCCTTTTCTTCAGCAAGCCTAGCTAAGAGTAAACCAATACCAAGATCCATCAGCGTCCTGGTATCAAACAAATAGCACGGTGGCAAATCTCCCTTCGGTTCACAAGGACGACGACTGCTTGTCATGGTGACGACCTGGGGCAGACTTTGGCCAGCGTATCCTCGGAGCTCCAGTAAACCACAATGGCTAAACCAGGAAAACTCGGAAGAAGAATGGAAATTTTGCTGAGGACCGAACAACAAGTGATGATGGGCCATCCAAGTATCCAAGTAAATAATGGAATACATCCCATCACTGAGGTGTATTAATTGCCAAACATAGTTAAGTACTGCTTTGCGATACAAATTTGCTACGCTAACACAACAGCGTAATATGAACTTAATTTCGAAACGTGATTGAATGACATCTAGAATAAAATTTAAAAGATTCACCAGAAATAATGACTGCTAAAAGAAAATCACCTATCATTTACAAGTTCGTAGTCATCCTCTTCATTCTGCGTTTCATTGTCTACCAAAACAAAAGCATCTTCTGGAATTTACAAGGTACAAAAACGAATATTAAACCTAACATAAAATAGCAGTGAAACAAACTATTACAAAGACTAACAATAACTGCCTTATACTTAGTGGAAACCTCATAGAAAGCGGCTCTGAANAAGGCGAAATCCGCCGAAACGTCAGCTTAATCGTGAACAAAGAATAGTAACACCTCGCGTTTGCTCAACAAAAATACGAAGAAAATCACTTGATCAATGCCGACGTTAATAGAAAGTTGGTCGTGGCAGTTACTGCCTTATTAGTTTCACAATGTTAGAGGCATAACATATTCCCACCAGGACAAAAGTAACGCAGTGTTCACAAAGGCAAACCACAGACCTATTCTTCCATGGAGTCGATCAAATTCGGCAGCAAAGAAGCTTTTTCCTTCAGCAGTACGCTTCGCATCTGCATCTTTTCTAAACATCTCATAAGGCCTAAGAAAAAAATTTGTACTGGTGGTAAATAAGTATTCTACCTGTAATACGCACTCAAATCTAGTACATCTGGAAACCCGTCCTCCGCAGAGTNCAAAAGTAACGCAGTGTTCACAAAGGCAAACCACAGACCTATTCTTCCATGGAGTCGATCAAATTCGGCAGCAAAGAAGCTTTTTCCTTCAGCAGTACGCTTCACATCTGCATCTTTTCTAAACATCTCATAAGGCCTAAGAAAAAATTTTGTACTGATGGCAAATAAGTATTCTACCTGTAATACGCACTCAAATCTAGTACATCTGGAAAGCCGTCCTCCGCAGAGTATTGCAAATTTCGACATCTTTGATGAGCTAATTCGTCGCTGTGGTCACCCTCCAACCACTCTGAGTTCTGCTCCTAACTCATATACATTCAATATAGAATATTATCTATTGAAAGAAAACATCACTTGAGCCCAAAGTCTTCACCTCAACATCAAATAACACTTGATTAGACCATTCTTCTGTTATTTTGTCCAAATCGATGAAGAAGCGACCTGCATTCAGTACTACTTCAACCAAAATTGGAAAATCTAGAAAGTCGGGACAAAAAGGATAAAGTCCAAAGAATGACGTCTTCGGCATAAGATAGTTTTCTTTAAAAATTTTAAATTTAAAAAAGATAAGGAATGGGTCGCATGTAGCGTAGTGGTCGGAGGCGCCCTATAATACCCATGGGATCGATGCCCGCGCCCCAAGCCCAACAAGCCTTCCACTCCTCCATGCTGGCAAATTGCTACCACACTAGACAGGATGGTGGCACTGGCTCGATACATCAGCAAGCCACCACGGATTATTGTAAAGGCCAGATATGCATTGAATTACCTCCAACGATGCTTGATGAAGTTGAATGCATGGCACATCCCTCAAGGAGAGAACAACGCTGACAGTTCTGTCCTTTCAGCTTCTATTGTCAAGATACGGGATGAGAACCTAGTCTACCCGAAAATAGATAAAAGGGCGGTTTAGACTAAAAAATCAAGTGAAACCCTCGCTTTGCATACCCTTCGTTCGCTTCCATCGTTCCTGAGTCGGATCTCTGATAAAATACAGGTCAACAATGTTTCTTGCAACCATCATAAGTAATTCTGGCCTTGGTGGTGAATAAACACGTGCTACTATCCAATAGATAAAAACGAACGCAAAAGTACACCAAGTAGTAAGAAACGTTGCCCGTTTAATGTTGGATATCATTCGAACGTTCGCGATTACAGCCCTGACTCGCCATAACACACAGAGAAATGAATTTAGATGTCATATGCATGCAATAAATCGAAAGAAGTTGCAGACTAGGCTGTCGTGAAGGCGCATTTCAAGAAGGATGAACATGTACACATCTTCAGCAATATAATGTTCAAGTGGAGGTGAAGTTGTAACTTGACTAGTCTTCTATGCTTCCGAACAGGAGATATCAAGCAAGGAACTTTGAGGATATGTAACACTGAACTCACTTTGCCAATTGAAACAACAAATTAAGGTAGATCTCTTCTCTAAATTGCTGGTAAACTTGGAAAGTACCGCCCGAAAACTGTGATCGAAAAGCTCCAGAACTGGGGATGACAGGCTCGGTGAACCGGGCGGTATCGAACCAGTACCGTCCTCGTAATGAACGGCACCCTTACAACTGTGCTACCCTCTTTCATTTCTTTAAAAGAGGTGTTCATGGTTTTAGTGATGCAATAATAGTCCCTACAAGAAATACACCCGTATAGTTACCAAGGCTTTACGATTTATGTGCACAAGCTTTGATTAGTAAGCATTCATTTCAATGAGTCAACTCATTGAAATGAAACGACAAGGAACGTAAGGAAACGACTTGAAGCCTCACGTAGGCATTAGAACAACGAAAACTGAGCACATAGATAATGGAGAATAAGTGTCCAATACGATTCCCACTACATCAAAGGTTCATGTTTTGCACCCAAATCTTCCTTGCTTTAAAGTAATGACCTCGTGAAGTGACTTTTACTTGACCTTGGTGTACAACACACCAACGCCTTTTTTCACTGACAATCTAACATGAATTTGTTATAAAAATATAAAGTTTTATTACGCTGCACAATCCATCCTGCAGCACTCTCAGTATATCAGCATATGTGTTCGCTTACGATGTGGGCCTTCGTAGCTGAGTGGCATCAGCCGAGTAAAACTTTTATAACGACGTAGTGTTAGCTTACCAATGAAATATTGTCTTGAATCGAGTTCTCGAAATGACTACGATACTTCATAGACGAGGTAGAAAAAGAATGGAGCACTTGGAAGCTATCGGTGCATATCAAATAAGGGCAAGAATTTCTCAAAGCGAAGAAGATATCGAAGAACCAGAGCACAGTCACACGACTTGTACTGCCGAAAAGTTAAATGTTGGTCGACCACATCAGAATAATCAAGAACCATAGCTACAGCGGAAAAGTTGAGTCATAAATCGTTTCGATGGTAAAAAGGTATTAATTTATACTTGGCGTCTCAACTACTAGCACAAAAGTACTTCACACCAACTGTGTTCGGACAGTCCCATCCTGAGAAAAAACAGTTCCACTGGAATGCTAGCAATAATCACCAGTGGCTTTTATACGATCCAGATAGAAGCCACTGAGAAACGTTTCCCTTCGTGAAAGATAAAAAGCAACTAATTCTCCCACTACTGAGATACAAATGGGTCCATTATTCTGTGAACGTGGTCAAGCGAGCTTCATTTAACAAAAACCAATTTATTGTAGAAAAAGTCGTATTTTAACCTCCATCTGTGAAACGTCTCGATAGTGTTGCTCCTACAGCTTGTAATTCAGCGCTAGCTTTCTCAGGTATCGACGATGTCCTCGACTTCTCCATTCGACGGATTTGAACGGCAGACTTGAAAGGGATCTATCTAAGCAATTTAGATCTCAAAACGAGGACCACTGATTGCATAAATTCGAATTCAACGACTACAATGCTTTTACTCATATCCCATTAATGAAATTGAACAACTGAAAGATAAGAGTACTTCATACTTCTCGGGAAACAATAGTTCATTGATTCCCGCCTCCATAAATCTTTTTTATCAGTCATAAATAAATGTAGCAAGCATCCATAGAAAAAGATCTAACGGTGAAATTGAGAAAGCCACTGTTCTAAATCACAAGACCATAATTACGAACAAATCTCGTTTGTGCTTACATATGTGACAAAAGGATGACTAACCCGATTATGACGCGATCTGCTTGCTTCCCACTCGGACTGCATAGCAAGGATATCATCTTCCGTTTCACTGGGAGCTGGTCGCTTAAGAAAAAAGCCTCCACCATCCATTGAAGACAATTACAGTCCGAAATCTATAGCGACTCTGAAACTAAGAGTCCGATGCAACCAGTTACATAGGTGCAGTGGTAAATTACACACTACCAGAAATAAGAAGAGGAAATTTCCTTTACATAAATGAAACAGAAGCCGAAGATAAAGTTTGCGAAACCATTCATAAGTAATTGGATCAATCATGTAGGTTGTTGTAGGTCATGTATTTAAGCGGAAACAACTTTTTTTGCTTGTTGGAGTAATTCGAGGATAGCTTAACAATAAACATATCAAAAAACAATGTAACAATAAACAGATGATAGGACAGTGTAAAATAACAAAGTCAGAAGTCTGTACAAACCGACATAAACAATACATATACGTATCGAATTTCTATAATAAATTATCGATACGAATCCAATTCATGCTTAATGGATGCCATGAGAAGGTTACCAAGACAGATACCAACGCTGAAAACATAGAAATTATTTGAAGTAGCGAAATTTCGATAGGAGTTAAAGCTTCACCTTTTCTATTCCTTTCTAGAAACTGGAACTGATGAGTGGTTGTTTACACCAACCGTAGTGGATGCTAAGAAGTGCAACCTGAAATGGAAGAGTACACAGCAGCTGACAGAAGAGCGAAACAAAAAACTCGCATGGTGTGGTGGCAAACGCGTTAGCTCCCGGAAAGGGTAGTAGCGTGTTCGATCCCCACCGCAGACACCTGTGTTCCGAAGATCGGCAAATATTTCAGATTCACTGTGGTTACAGTACGCAGCGTTGTCATTCATATCAATAGCGAACAGTTAGAACCCTCGCAGGATTACTTGTAGCATGTAGCAATACTTACTTGGGTGATTGAATCTCACGAATTTTCAAAACAGCTTTCTGTTTCGCCGAGCGACCAACCGCTGAACGACACGCAGACGGTGCTGGACTTTTAAAAGCACACCGAAGACCAAATGCACGTAAACGTGCGCTAAACCGCTAATAAGAAATGACAGGAATAAGCACAGAAACATCATAAAAACAAATGGGACAGTAGAAAAGAAACGGAAAACCAACTACTAATAGATTTACTAAGAAAATCCCAGCCTATACCTCTTTTCTATCTTCCTTCGATGAAATCTTGGTGTTTCGGCAGGCTCTGGTGTCTGAAGGATGTTGCTCTCACTGTCGAATTTATATCCTTCCAGCTCAGGTTTTCCATTGGTTGTGGAGTAAACATTCTGCAAGAAAGTGGAGCATTCGGGAAGAACGACAAGCATACGTCCTTATAGGCATTTTTTCCCTTGATATGTTGCTTATAAGTGTTTTATTTTCAACACTAGGAAGTATAAAATAGTGTTAGATGATAAGCTGCCAATTTCACGATCTCGTCAGGTTTACCTCAACTGCAACACTATAAACTTCAAGGAGTGGCTGACCACCAATGTACCTAATGGGATATCCGAACTCCTTGAATTTGTATATATCATTGAAATAAACCAGAGCAGATTTTCCAGCACAAAAGAGTTCCATTTTCACAATAGATAGATATAAAAAAGCACATCTCTCGCTATGCAGTCTTTAACACAGTTTGCTTGGGAAGACTTAATCGACTTCTGGACAAAACCTTATGGGTTAGAGCTCCAGATCCACTACATCTATAATTTCTGTACCTGTTCTCTTCAATCAATTCTCATTCAAAAGTCAAAATAACGACGAAATGACCTTTTCATCAGAAAGCTGTGGAATGACGACGCGCACTCTTGCACTCTTAGGCGACGAAGAATAAGATTCATTTAAAGGATGAAGAACACGACGAGATCGGACAGACTGTTCGGCATGGGATAGTTTCTGAACTATGCAAACCTTGAGCGGTATCACCAGTTCAAAACATTTACAAAAACATTAGTCAAGTAAAACTAGTGCAGTCCTCCTGAATAAAACAACTCTCAGAAAACAGTATCCATTGACTCTTTTTATACCAAACTCGTGCTAGATCAGTAATCTAGGAGAATATTGATCGGACTTCCATGAGTTGAGACAATACAACAATTCTCAATGTACGCGATTAACTCCATTAAAAAGACGGCACATTAAATATTTACCTTGGGTAAAAAATAAACAGGACCTCCCAACGGTTCACCGCCTCAACGTGGGTGGGAAATGTTCCTTGGTATCGGGTTGCGCGATTTACAGGGTGGGTGTATTCATCTCCCAGCAGGGTCTCCCAAGCTGTGAAGGATCCCGGCGTTTCCGCCAGGAAGCCCAGCTAAGAGTAAACCAATACCAGCATCCACATACACCATCGTTTTGGTATCAAACTAATCGCATAGTGTTATATCACCCTCAAATCCACATGAGCCGCGAGTGCCTGTGGAGATGACGACCTGGAGCAGACTTTGGCTAGGCTGACCACGGGAATCCAGGGAACCACAGTGACTGAAGGAGCAAAACTCCGAAAAAGTGACAAACGTGCTGGGGCCCGCACAACCAGTTTACGACCAGTGAAGACGCACCATCTAAGTACCACGGGCAAAAACTAGATCCACAGAGTTGATGAACTTTTAAACACCTCTTCATACTCGTTCATTATTCGCTTTTTAGATCAGCAAAACATTATTGTAAACACTGCCTTTACAGCGGCTTACAGGAACACCAGATCACAATACTTATTCCACATTATCATGTTCGCTACCAAGTTATAACAACCCTAACGGGACCGGTTGTATGCGTTAGTATGCTCACCTTTTTGATATTCGACATCATTTGAGCAGCTGACTTCCTTAGACTCCTGTAGGTAATGTTTTTACGATAACGATGACTGCCACTATATCCACTGTCCATTACCTTTCAAAGAAAACTAGACATCCAGTGCGCCAAAAGTACGACTGCTGAAGCTAAGCCTAATAACCCTATAATGAAAGTAATTAAGGTTGATCAGCGAGTAAGATTCTTGGTTAATAAGGCTTAAAAACAAAACGCTCACAAAAACAGACCTGGTCCTCAGCCACAGAAACAAGTGGAATTCCCATTTGCCTCCGTAGTAAATGGCGCATAGTTCCTCAATAGAGCGCAATGATCAGTTGGGCGTGGAGGGTATATTCATTCCACGGGATAAATTCGATGTCATTATTTTTATGTTCTAGTGAATATTCTGCATCTTCTGAGCACTTTGTAGGCTGATCCACTCTTTCCGCTACATTTGGTGTGATCCACACCTTCCAAGCTATAATACACCTCACCGACTGCCGGTCTCTGTCGTTCAAAGTCGAGGGCATCAACTAGGGAATATATAGAATTCGTGTATAATGCTGAGATATTTGCAAAACTCCGGACCGCAGGTGTATGCTGTGTGACGAACACGCGCTGTTGTCCTTCCCGGGGAGTAACGCGTTCACCACCACACCATGCGGGTCATTCGTTTCGCCTGTCTCTCAGCTAGTTCTAGCGTTCTTTTGCCATGAGCAATCACCAGTCAGCGGGATTGATCTGGGAAGCCCAAATCGGCAACAAACCCACTTAAGCTAAGGCTATGGTTATAGTCACAATGTTAACCTTTTTGTTTAACGTTTTGTTTTCTGCCTTCTATAATTTTCATGGCAGGTTACTAAGCGAAATACAACCACAACGTTGCTGAGATATTTGCAAAACTCTGGACCGCAGGTG